GCTTGAACCCTGGAGGCAGAGGTTGTAGTCAGCCGAGATCATGCTGGTGCACTCCAGCCTGGGCGACAGAACGAGACTCCGTCTCAGAAAAAAAAAAGTTATTTTTAAGTGGAAAGGGCAAGACGGTTCTTGGAGAGACTTGGTAGGTGAAGCAGGTTAGAGACAGCACATCAGAGTATGCATGTGACAGGAGGCTCAGAGGAGAGGGAATGCTGGGGAAAATGTGACTGGTAAAATTCATAATGTTGCTTTTTCCTACAGCCCACAAAATTAATGGAATTCCCTCAGGAGATGGAGGAGGAGGAGGAGGTAATGGAGCTGGTGGTGGCAGCAGCCAGAAAACTCCGCTCTTTGAAACTTACTCGGATTGGGACAGAGAAATCAAGAGGACAGGTGCTTCCGGGTGGAGAGTTTGTTCTATTAACGAGGGTTACATGATATCCACTTGGTAAGTACAATTTTAGCAATGTTATATATGGCTGGAAGTCACTTCCCTATGAAGAATAATCAAACTCTGTTGTCATTGATGACTTTCTAGTTGTGGTTAGTGGAATATTTGTTTTTAACAATGTTTTAATGAATATTTTATTTTAAAGATCAGGGTTTCTTAATATAAATTATAGTATCCCTTAAAAGAAGTTGATAGTAATTCCTTACTGTCATCAGTAATCTAGTCAGTGTTTATTGCATTATATCTTGTAACCGATGTTTTACAGTTGGTTTGTTCACATCGATATCTAAAGTCTTCACATTGAATTTGCCTAATAGGTCTCTTAGGCCTTTTAATCTACAACAGTCTCCTCCCACCTCTTTTTTACCTACTATTCATTGACAAACCAGGTCATTTGTTCCCTAGAATTTTCCACATTGTAGATATTGCTGGTTTTATCCCCATGGTGTCCTGTAATGTGTTCCTCTGTCTCTAGGATTTCCTTTAAAATGTTAGCAACAGAGGCTTAATTGGATTCAGGTTCAGTACTTTTGGCAAGAATGTTTCATTAGGTGGTGCTGTGTTCTCCTGTGGGGGTCACATCCCATCTCAGGCTGGCTGGCTGTGTCTCTCTCATTGTAATCTTGACTGACCAGTGGGCTTAGAGGGTGTCAACCTGATCCAGTAAAAGTTCCCTTTTTATATCATGGTTTTAGCTCCCAAGAATAGTTTTGCATTGGGAGAGAGAATCATTGCCCAGACCATTATTTCACTAAGGATTGCGATTGTTCACCTTCTAATTCTATCATCTTTCTGCTTTTATCGAACTTTTCTCTCACCAGCTCTTTAGTGCCCCGTAACACAGTTGGTACAAGAAAAGCAATATAAATATCTACATTTTCTCCTTTACTTAACATTTTTCCGAATAGTGCGCTGGTTCCCTAGGGGATCTCCCCAAAAGTGACTAGGAATTTGTTTTTTAAATTTGTTTAATGTCATTTAGTTATATGAATTTTTTGGAATACCTTATTTTAAAAGGTCGTTGAAGTCTTCATTAGTTCACGCACATAAGCAGCTTTTTAGAAAAAAGAAGAAAAGCACTACTGTGTTATTACTGGTTAATCCAGTACCAGGAGCTTCTAGTACAGTTCTAGGCAGGTGCTTTGCAGCATGTAGCTTGTGTCTTCTGCTTCCCCTGGAATTTAAGCTTCATGGCCAGCACACCGAGATGTACGTGCTGAGAAACACGTGATGGGCTGCCCAGCCACGTCGGGGAAAGAAGGAAGATGTCTTGAGGTGCAGTGAGCTTGCCCACCAGTAATTATTGTCTCATCAGTGTCCTAGAGTCTGACTATGCCTTTTAGGCATGGGGAAAGGTAGAAGAGGGACTTAAGAAGAGAGCTAAAGCTTCTGGTAGATTTGTGGGGTTTTCTTTTGTTTGTCTGGCGTCCTTAACCTCGTCAGTCACCTCCGTGTCATTAAAGTAGGAGGCCTTTCTCAGTTGTGAAAGGCCTTTGTTCTCCTGTCAAGAGAACAAAGGTTTGGATATATTTTTCAGTGAGCACGTACGTGTTTAATAGTCATTCTGGAAAATATTTCTAATACCTTCTTTGGAATTTTCTCATGCTGTAAATTTAGATTTTTAAGAATTGGTCATATCGCACATGTTTTAGACTAAGATTTCTAGGATTGTCGCTGCCCCCCATGTGGCTACTAAGTGGGGTGAACATTAAATGCGGACAACTGTGCTTAATTGTTTATGGGGTCTGCAGGAGCACACTATTCCTGCTTTTAGCACAGGACTCTTACATATAATTTTTTTTTTCCCCTCCAGCCTTCCAGAATACTTTGTAGTGCCAAGTTCTTTAGCAGACCAAGATCTAAAGATCTTTTCCCATTCTTTTGTCGGGAGAAGGATGCCAGTAAGTGATTTCTGTTGGATTTTATGAATGCTGACGTCCATTGTTTCTACACAGTGAAGTAAGGATTCTGCCTCTCCCCTAGCTCTGGTGCTGGAGCCACTCTAATGGCAGTGCTCTTGTGCGAATGGCCCTCATTAAAGACGCGCTGCAGCAGAGGAAGATTGACCAGAGGTAATTGAGAAATGGTCGTCGTCACTTTAGATAGTTTTACTTGTCATGTATAACTACAGTGAGTTCCCTACTAATTGAAAATAGCAAAATGCATAGTCTTACTAATTAGTTAGCACCATGTTTTATGTAAGAATTGCCATTTTGAAAATAATGTGATAATATTAACTGACATTGGGGTTACACTAAATATAATTTAATTATTTGGTTTGTAAGACACTTGTGGATCTTACGTTGCTGACATCTTGCTATAACATTTTCTATAACATACTTTCAAAGTGCAGTGATATCCAATTGAGACACTTCAGGATAAATCAAACTTTTCTTGTAGTTTGATGTGTCTTATTTAGATCTACACATTTGCAATAGCTAGAACAGTGGTTTTAATTAGCCACCACAGACGAGTCTGGCATTATCTGCTGTGGTCATCAGTAACCTCCGTGTTACTAAAGTAGGAGGCCTTTCTCAGTTGTGCTCATAGCAGCGAGCAATACTATTGGTCACTCTCTCCTTAAAGCCGCCTGGGCCCTTGGCCTCTGCTCCTCTCCACTCTCCCAAAGCTCCTCTGCCTCACTGGTACTCCGTGCCTTCTGCAGACCCATCCTCTTCTCTCCATACATTACATAGGTTCTAAGGCCTCTTCCTCATGTTCGTATTTTCCTAAAGAAGTTCCCCCAAGAATGTGGCTTTAGTGGCCAACACATTTATATCTTCAGACTACCTTGACTTCTATGTGGAGGTCTCAGAGACCCCTTAAACTCATTGTGTCCAAAACCAAACTTAAGGATATGGCCTCCATGCCCTCCGCCAGCCTGCTCTCAGAAACCAGGGGGTCATCCTGGATCCCTTCCTCTTTCTTTCCCTTCCCCATCCCCAGTCTCTCCTGAGATTTTCTCACTTCACTTTTCAGACACTTTACAAATCCGTGTGCTTCCACCCCAGCAATACCTCTGCCTGTGTGTTATAAGTGCCGTCATTTCCTCCTTCCATGTCTCCTCTCCCCTGGGCTCCAGCCCCCTGGACTTTGCCTGGTGTTTTCAACCTCCTTACATAGTCCAGCACTCTTCCCTTCTGGACTGCCTTCTTTGCACTCATCTGGGAACACGCTCCATGCTTACCTACTTGGCACCCACTCCTTGTTTCTTTTTTTTTTTTTGAGACAGAGTCTCACTCTGTCACCCACGCTGGAGTGCAGTGGTGCGATCTTGGCTCCCAGGTTCAAGTGCTTATCATGCCTCAGCCTCCTGAGTAGCTGGGATTACAGGCACCACCACCGCATCCATCTGATTTTTGTATTTTTAGTAGAGAAAGGGTTTTACCATGTCGGCCAGGTTGGTCTCGACTCCTGACCTCAGGTGATCCACCCGCCTCGGCCTCCCGAAGTGCTGGGATTGCAGGCGTGAGCCTCCACACCCGGCTCACTCATTCTTTATATCTCAGTTCAAACGTAATTTCCTCAAGATAAGCCTTCTCTCACCTCTGAAGTTTGATCAGACCTCAAAAGTCTATGTTCCTGGAGTTCCTGAGTTAACATTTGTTTCAGTTTTTAATAATATATGTGTGTGTCACAGTTTGATCACCGCCTGTCATTTTTACTCCATGAGATGTGAGACTGTGTCTGCTTTGCACACCGTTCTCTATTTAGCACCCAGGAAGCACATATGATATTTATTCAGTACTTGTGGAGTAAATGAGGAGCAGATGAACAGATCTTATAAAACAGGCTGATAGAGCCTCAGAAATTGTGTATTACAGTCCATTATTAGGGTTTTTCCACTGTACTGTGACTGACAGAGCAAATAACTGTCAAGTGACCCTCAAATGACCCTTCAGTTTTCTGGGAAGGAAGGTGACTGTGTCACACAAGTCCGTATTCTCTGTGGGTTTTGATTTACCTGAACTCTGTTTGGAATTAGCTGTCTGCTGTGTCGTACTCCAAGCCTTGTGTTTGTTAACATGCATGCTGATGAAGCGCACTGTTAGGACTTTTGCTGTTCAAGGGACAATCGTAGCATTGTTGGGTGAGAGTTAGTTGTAAAACCTTAGAACCAGTGGCAGTTTCAGTGATGTATTAAGCTGAGAATTACTTTAATGCCTTTTGTGTTTTTAGCTGTCCCATTCTTCATCAGTAGAACAGATCCTCTTTGTTGTCCAACCTTGTCTCCTAACCTTTTTCCCTCAGGTGTGTCATCTAGCCCCACTGGCCTTCTTGACGTTTCTCAGCAGTCATGCTTGTTACCTGCCACAGGGCCCTTGTACTAGCTGCCCTCTGCCTAGAACACTTTCACCCCAGGTCTTTGCATTGCTTCTCTATTCATTTAGGTTTCAGCTTCAGTACCATCTTCACAGAGCAGCTGTTTTTGACCATGTGACCTAAAATAGCCTGTAATCCCATGATTACATCATCCATGGCATTCCCCACAGCCCATTTATTTCATCTTATCATCCACCCCACCCCACCAAGAATGTCAACTCCACACTTGCTTTGGCAACACAAGTAGTAAAATTGTAATGATACAGGGAAGATTAGCGTAGCCCTGCACAAAGATGACATGCAGATTCATGAAACATTCCATATTTTAATGAAATGGGAGCATACTCATGTTATTTAATTTTTAAAAATCAGTTTATCAAGCAAATGTACAGTGCCATTTTATTTTTCATGCATACGTTAAATTCCATACACATAAAGGTGCATAGAGGAAACCTAGAAAGATTACGCCAAAATTTTAGAATTCTGAGTGATTTTGTTTTTCTTACCTTTTCTAGGTGTTTTTAAACATTTCACACTAATTTATATTACTTTTTCTATTCAGGAAAAAAAAATAGCAGGTTTATTTATTTATTTATTTATTTATTTTAAGTGGTGTGGAAGTTACCCTTTGAACATAGATGGGAATCCCAGTCCTGGCTGTTTCCTTTGAAAACATCTAGAGACTCCATGGCACGTATTTGTAGCAGCCCGTTCTCTCCTTAGAGGAAGAGTGGGAGGAATTTTGGTGAATGTCTCTACTTGCAGTTCATCCTGCAGCAAATCATTAAGACTGTGGGAATAGGTGCTTTGCATTCTCTAGAGCTGGAGAATGTGAGTCTGGTTTGCCATCCTTCTATCTACATCATGTGGAAAGATGTGGGAGTGTAGGGTCTCCTTAATCTAAATGCCATGCTGCCCTCCTTGGCAGTGCTTCTGTTTCCTGGGCAAGTTTTCCAGTGAATGCGCTTTATTTTCTCCCATCAAAAATAAGGGAATGAGCCCGGGCGCGGTGGTTCGTGCCTGTAATCCCAGCACTTTGGGAGGCCGAGGGAGAGTGAATCACAAGGTTAGGAGTTCAAAACCAGCCTGGCCAACATGGTAAAACCCCGTCTCCACTAAAAATACAAAACTTAGCCAGGTGTGGTGGTGGGCACCAGTAATCCCAGCTACTCAGGAGGGTGAGGCAGGAGAATCACTTGAACCCAGGAGGGGGAGGTTGCAGTGAGCTGAGATTGCGCCACTGCACTCCAGCCCAGGCGACAGTGCGAGACTTGGTCTCAAAAAAAAAAAAAAGAAAGAAGGAAATGATCTGATTAGTTCTAATGATCTAATTAGCACTGCACGTGGGGGTGGCAGTGAGGTGAATGGCAGCATTCTGCAGTAGTCAAAACCAGATGGGTGTGAGAAGTTGGATGGTAAGAGGGAAACAAAGTTTACTTGTCTTCTTGATTTTGCTCTGTTTTATGAGAATACAGAAAAATCATGCAGAGAAACCTGATGGAATAGTCTCTAAAACTGAAAAATAAGTAATGGTTCTGTCTTAAAAAAAAAAAAAAAAAAAAAAGAAGTAAACTCCATGAAGACAGAGACCTTAGCTGTCTCATTCCTCTCTCTATCTCCTGGTCTGTAGTAGGTGTTAAATAAATATATGCTGAAGTGAATGAGTAATGACTAAAGGATTTTTGTCTTTATTAGGATTTGTAATGCAATAACTAAAAGTCACCCACAGAGAAGTGATGTTTACAAATCAGATTTGGATAAGACCTTGCCTAATATTCAAGAAGTGCAGGCAGCGTTTGTAAAACTGAAGCAGCTATGTGTTAATGGTAATTTCATTCTTATTTCATGTATATAATGAACACAGGATACAGAGTTGTATGAGATGTCAGGAAAAATGATGTTCCTTAAAAATATAGAAACATATATTTAAGGAGTCTATGGAATTATTTGTACAAATTATATATTGTATGAGAACTTCAGAACCTCCTAAGGAATTAAGTTTAAACTACTTTTTGTTTTAGAGGGGGGAAAATGAGTGTATTAAATTTCCTTCAAATCATGAAAGGTATAGTAGAATACTTTTATAAAAGCATTTGCTGAGTAGAACACTGTATTACCTTACAGACAAACTTATTAAGATTTTAATACATGCAATTATACTTTGAGATAGGTGACTTGACAACAGCTGTGTTGTATCTGTAGCCTTGGAATTCTGATATATCTGTTTGAGCGAATGTATCAGGTGGCTTCGATGTGTCCTGGGGGATGAGTCATGTGAAAGCATCTTTGGTGTAATGTGGGTCCTCCTCGAGAGAGCCTCTAATCACCAGGGAGTCAGCAAAGGCAGCCTTGCAGCAGATCTTGAGCAATGAGTGAGCACTTCCCTGGGGGAGGGCCTTGCAGGGGCGGGGTAAGGGCAAGTTGTTGAAAAAACTAGTATCCTGAATGATTATGTGCACTCTGGGCGGGGCAGTGAGGATGCCTGTCGTCATGCAGTGGCTAGCCCTCAGGCCACATGAGCGGTGCATAGAGGCACCACTGACAGCAGGGGAGGGGCAGGGAAGCAGGAGGGCAAGGCTTGCAGTAAGAAAGCCAAGGGCTAGGGCCTGGGCAGCTGACGTCACAGGTCAGGAGGGCCAGGATCAAGGCATAGGCTGAGCAGGGAAGGCTGGAATTCTTAGCTGTTGGGAGTCAGAGTTGGTTGGACTCCAAGATTTCCCTGAAAGAGCGAGAGAGATGATGATGGAGCCCCAGGGGAATGCTTTGCTTTGCTTTGTTACAGAATTGTAATGTCTTCTTAAATGCTTATTCCATGTTATTAAAGTGAAAATGCATGATATTTACTTAAAGCCAACTTTTAAATATTAGAAACTGATGTATCTCTTAACTCTGATAGGGATCATATAAAATAAACTTTAAAAAAGTAAAAATGTATATGTATATAATTTATTACAGAGCCTTTTGAAGAAACTGAAGAGAAATGGTTATCTTCACTGGAAAATACTCGATGGTTAGAATATGTAAGGTTTGTACCACTTCTTTACTTTCTTTTCCTTTAACTTTTTGAGATAATTACAGACTCACTGGAGGTACAAAAATAGCACAGAGAGCCATGTACTTACTCTTCATCCAACTTCACCCAATGGTAACATCTCGTAACTAGAGTACAGCATCCAAACCAGGAAGCTGACATTGGGACGCTGAATAGATCTTACTCACCAGTTCATACATGCTCTTGTGTGTGTGTGCATGCACTTAACACAGCTGTGCGATTTTATCACATGTGTACGTTCACTTCACCACCACCACCACAGGAAGATACAGACCTGTTCCAGGACAAGGCTTCCCCGTGCTAGCCCTCTTATAGGTGCACCCCCATCTGTGTCTGTTAGCTACCACTAATCTCTTGTCAATCTCTATAGTTTTGTCATAAGTCAACCCCTTCCTTTTTATAAAGGGTTTATGAATTTCCCTGGTATAAAAAGTACAAAATGAGACTTTTTATCTGGTGGCTTATGCCTGTAATCCCAGCACTTTGGGAGGCCGAGGCGGGTGGATCACCTGAGGTCAGGAGTTCGAGATCAGCGTGGCCAACATTGTGAAACCCTGTCTGTACTAAAAATACAAAAATTAGCCAGGCATTGGTGGCGCACACCTGTAGTCCCAGCTCAGGAGGCTGAGGCAGGAGAATCACTTGAACCTGGGAGGCAGAGGTTGCAGTGAGCTGAGATTATGCCACCATACTCCAGCCTGGGCGATAGAGCAAGACTCCATCTCAAAAAAAAACAAAAAAAGTTACAAAGTGGGGCCGGTTGTCGTAGCTCATGCCAGTAGTTCCAAAGCTTTGGGGGAGGAGGATCACTTGAGGCCAGTAGTTCACAGCCAGCCTGAGCAACATAGTGAGACCCCATCTCCACACACAAAAAATTGAAAACTAGCCAGGCATGGTGGCATGTGCCTGTTGTCCTAGGGAGCCTGAGGCAGGAGGATCACTTGAGGCCAGGAGTTCACAACCAGCCTGAGGAACATAGTGAGATGCCCATCTTCACAAAAAAATGTGAAAATTAGGCAGGCATGGTGGCTCATGCCTGTGGTCCTAGCTGCTCAGGAGGTGGAGGCAGAAGGATCACTTGAGGCCAGGAGTTCGGGGTTACAATGAGCTATGATGTGCCACTGCACTCTAGTATGGGAGACAAAATGAGACCCTGTCTCTTAGAAAGAAAAACTACAAAATATCCTCCTTTGAGGAATCGTATAAGTACTAAAGAAACTTTTCGGTAATGTGAAAACTATGTGCATTCAGTAGAAAGCAGTCAGTCCTCTCTCGTGATGCTGAGCGGCAGCAGGGAGCCACAGCTGCCAGTCAGCCACGCATTCTCACTTTAGGGTGTTTTCAGCTTACAGTGGGTTTATCAGGGCATAAGTCACGATAAACCCATTGAGTTATCCTGGGTCATGAGTCATGGGGACATCGTGAATCAAAGAGCATCTGTAAAGCAAGAAACTAGATTTGCTTGATTTCAAGTGCTTTATATATTTGTAGTGGAAATTTAACACTATTTTTCCTTTTCTCTCTTCAGGGCATTCCTTAAGCATTCAGCAGAACTTGTATACATGCTAGAAAGCAAACATCTCTCTGTAGTCCTACAAGGTAACTAAAGTAACTCCTGAAAGCACCATGACCGCCATGCCAGCCAGCCTTGGTTTACTGCTTATCCCCGTTCAAGTAAATCACATGAGTTTTAGCTATTTCTTATTTACTACAGTACCATCAAAGACATTACAGATTTTGCACATCATTTGAGTAAAACAGTGGCACGGGCTGGGCGCGGTGGCTGAAACCTGTAATCCCAGCACTTTGGGAGGTCGAGGCGGGCGGATCACTTGAGGTCAGAAATTCGAGATCAGCCTGGCCACCATGGTGAAACCTTGTCTCTACTAAAAATACAAAAATTAGCCAGGCTAATGTGGTGGTGGTGCATGCCTGTAGTCTAAGCTATTCGGGAGGCTGAGGCAGGAGTATCACTTGAACCTAGGAGGTGGAGGTTGCAGTGAGCAAAGATCACACCACTGCACTCCAGCCTGGGCAATACAGCAAGACTCTATCTCAAAAAAAAAAAAACAAAAACAGTGGCACAAGGACTGCAAATAGAAGAATAGAAAGGAGTCCAGTTTTTACCCTTGATTAAATTATCCATTAAATTATCCTTCCTATTTTATGGGAAGGGTGGGTCCAATCCCCTAATGGATTAATACTTAGTGTTAATTTTGACAGGGCATTCTCTTGTGATTTTGCTGTCTAATTCATACAAATTTCTTTTAGTTTAA